ACACACACACACACACACACACACACACACACACACACACACACACACACACACACACACACACACAGGGAAACAAGGAGGTTAAAGGGGACATATCATGCACATTTTCAGGTCCATACTTTTCATATTTGGGATTTCTACTAGAACGTGTTTCCATGCTTTAATGTTGAAACACATCATTTCTCTCATACAGTCCGTTTGATGATACCTGTATTCACCCTCTGACTGAAACGCTCCGTTTTAGCGCCTGTCTCTTTAAACCACCTACCGACTCTGATTGGTAAAAAGATATAGTAAATAAAAGACAATTCAGCAATGCAGGAACAACAAGTGAGATCCATTATCCTCTCTATCCCGCCTCTTTCTCGTAGTGGCAAAGAAACTTAACATGCCAGAGTTAAATGAGAACTTTAATTAGACGCCTTCGACCACAGCTATGAACTGGAATACCAGCAGGATGACAGAACTGGCAGTGCTTTCTTATTGTTACTGCCAACTTGCCGATGTTATCGTGAATGCATTTATGTTATTTATAATGCTGCAAGGCTCTTATTACATTTTCCTACCCTCGTAATTCATTCCTTCATTAGTTGCTCATGTTTTGTATTTGTGCCTCACAGGGTTTGGAGATGGGAAGTACGTGTCTTTTGAGGACCAGCAGTGGCACCAGCCGTGCTTTAAGTGTTCACGCTGCTCGGTGTCGCTGGTGGGCTCCGGCTTCTTCCCCGACCGCGACCAGATTCTGTGTACAGACTGCAACAACGATGACTGACCGCCACGAACCGCACCGGCAGCACCTATCAAACACCAGCAGAAAAACATTATTCTAAACCTCGGCCTTCAACACGAACACTGCAATATTACTAATTCACTCAGAGTGTAAATCTGATGCAACGCTCAGTATTTACAACCCGAAGCTCTCATCAGCCTTTAGCACATTGAAATGTTTGTATAAATTCTGCAGAAATGTCCTGCGACGTATGTGTACGACTTTGTTTTTCGGTATTTTTAAGGTTTTGCACACCAAAGACTAAAGGAAATATACAACACATATACAGTATCTAAACCTTTAAATGAAACTGTTTAACACTTGTTTTCATCACTGCTAGGCAGAACCAAAATTTGAATGTTATGATTAAACGCTGGGCAAACGTATTTCTACTTTTTAAAAGATATTCCAACTTATATAAAACTGCCCTCCCTCTTCTCCCTGTATGTAAAGAATGTGTCGAGAATGTTCTGTATATTTAGTTTTCTTTTCAGCTTAAAACAGTCTTTACTGGCGTACTTACAATAATAATAAATGTAATAAAATAAAGGGCATTGTATAAATGTAGTAATGAATGAAGTATTTCTCTCTATGAACGTGGACATGCACAATGCATCTCATGAAGCGCAGTAGGTGTCAGTTAACCTACAAAATTGGTTCCCTGCTTCACACAGTTGTGCTTCTAAAAAAATAAATAAAATGCACAAAAGCAGCCTCCTGATGAATTATGCTTCAAAGGTGGCTCTTTGTACAGGACGATGTTTAAAAGCTCATTTAGAAATGTGCTTTCCTGTCTCACTTAGACGCGAATTATCAAGCCACACAAAAGTCTTAAATTCTCTTGTGAGGCGTATCGAGCAGCTGAAACTAAATACTCCTTTTGATAATACTTGATGAAAAAAAAACTGAAACGGCTCACAATGTCTTTAAAAAAAACAGGGAGAAGATTCCTTAGAAAAACCCTCATCCCATTTCCCAAAGATGGCTTTCTGTGGGTAGTCCCATGCAGACTTTCCCTTATATTACTCACATAATCTACATAAATATTTACAGTTCAGAACCTCTTTGCTGATCTGTTCCGATTGTGTTTATATGGAGGCTGTGCCAGGCTAGTGTCCATGTCGGGAGGGTGGTAGAAAACTAAGATGGTGTAGGTCAGGACACTAGTTCAACAGGACACATTTTTCAATAGAAATGATTTTGGCCTTTGGTACTTTTGTTCCCGTGGTCTCGATGCTGATTGAAACACCTTGGACCCGCTTCTTTCTTGCTTTAAAAGTGTCCTGAAAATATTTTTGTTCAACAGAAATAAAGGAGCACAACATATTAATAAAAAAGTTCATTTTTAACCTTGAAAACAGTTTGACAATTAAAAAAAAAAAAACAAGTCCAGGAAGTTCCACAACACCAGACAAAGCTAGTATGTGGACATTAGAGTTCAGATTAGTAAGACGTTTGTACTGAAATACATGGATTTGGCCCCGACAGGTGCTAATGTGAATATACACGGCTGCTCGTCTCTCTCCAGGCGCCTGGTGCTCCCTCATAAACTGTGAAATGCAGCTGTCAAGAAGAGAAATACTCTCCTGTTACTTCCTGCTTTTGATCATCTTTCATGACTCAGTGTAAAAGTGTTGACTTGGTGCAACAAGCATGTTCTTAATGCCCCGTTAAAATCTCATCACAAGATCAACTCCAGATGAAAAATGAAAGCGCCATGTGGTGCTGTTGTTTGTTTGAGCTTTTCCCATGACTCTTCCTGAAATATGTTTGACCTTGTTTGCGGGGATGTCGGCGAACAAGTCTTGTTTGGTCCCAGGAAGAGGAGGAGGAGGAGGAGGAGGAAGGATGGGGTCGAAGCTCCTCAGTGAATATTTAGGATTTCACGTCATCCCACTCAGTGGACAGGGACTCGGACACAGCGGGACCAGGGACTCGGACTCAGCTGCATCCTGCTGGGGGAGGCTGTTAAAGCAATTAGACGACATTACTCTGACTGACTGACCACAGACGAAAGAGAGCTTTAGAGCCTGTAGCTTCTACAGTATTGTTTTCTGCATATTTCCTGAAGTCCTTAGATGACCGTGTGTAGCATCAACCGGAATTCACTCAATACATTCTGTTTCTAAAGGGATTCACCCTGTTCTACCGTTTGAATGAGGACCATTTTCAGTTCACATGGGGACGATTTGTTTGGACGTTTGAAATGAAAACTGTTGACATCATATGCTTTTTCACCTGGTCGCTCCTTTTTATTCTTTCAAAGCTGTAATCCTCACAAAAGGAAAATTGCAATTTAAAATCCTCTAACATGGCATATGTCATTTTAAATATCAATGTTCGCATATTTTAATATAGTAACATTTTTGGAAAAACAATCAAGACAGAAAGTTCATTCTTGACCTTGGAAACTGCAGCTGGACTGCTTTATTATAATATTGTTATTCATCAGGTATTAAATTGACTGGATCAGTCAAAAACAGACATTTCTGTCTATTTATTCAAAAACAGTCTCACCAATTTGGATCTGGAGCTGATATCATCAATGACAATATTCAGCATGACAGGAGTATTGGGATGATAATGAAACTGGATCATCCCTCGTCTGAGAATAGGTCAGAATAGGTCAAGGTTATAAAATAAACTGTTTTAGCGAGAATAATCTATTTTTTTCCTACTTATTTATTTTCCTGAATCATTTTTTGTTCCACGATCCGGTCCAGTTGGTGGCGGTAATGCACCCCGAAGAAGAACCTCCCCTTCTCTCCTCCAGTGGGGTCAGTCAAAAGGATTCAGTCATGCAGACTTTTTTTGACATACTATGACTTTTTTTTTTTTTTTACCTTTTTGCCAACACATTATACTATGACTTTATAATTACTCTTAATGACTAACTATACCTCGACTCTGTTTCTCTACAAGGACATTTTTTGACATACTATACTATGACTTTATTTTACTCTTTTCGACTCATTATACGGTGACCGTTTTTGACTTTTTTCGATGTACTATACAATTACTTTTTTTTACTTCGACATACTTCATGAAAGGCTTTGTTTTGATGCTATATTATGACATTTTCATGACTTACTTATACTATGAAATTATTTGATGACATACTTTGATGTAGTATAGTATGCCATAAGAGTCACAAAAAGTCATGACTTTTTTGTAGCATACTATTCTTTTCAAATTTTTTGTGAGATATTGTACAATGACATTTTATGACATCATTTACTTTGAGATTTATACGACACATGTATGACTTTCATGGCACACATTCTGTATGGCCTACTATACTTACTGCACCAATACTCAAAGTATCAAGACAATATTTTGCTTTACTGGTGTTTCATTGCTCTGCATTAGATCTCCATCCTGTGCTTATCTTAGATCTAGTCTCGGGGTTTGCTGAGCTGCACCTCATGAGTCTTCCTGTTGTTCTCCAGCTGCTAGTCCAGCATTTTCTAGAGGACAGAAACCCCCAAAAAACATTATAGACTCACTGTCATTCAAATACAACACACACTTGTGTCTTGGCACCTGCAGCGATCATGTGACTGTCACAAATAGCTCACTGATAAAAGCACTATTTACATGTCTAGGGATTATACAAAGAAGGTCAATTTGTTTTCTGGATGCTTTAGAAACAGGTCGTCTTATAAATCTGCATTTGAGTATTTGTTTTGCAATCAAATCAAATAGCTTACAGGACATTCAACCTTTGTTTCTTTATAATGCATGTGGTACTTCATTTTGTTTCTTTACAGGGCTTGTACAAAGTTAATAAAGTAGGCCATGAATAAGAGACATGAGTTTACAGATATTTACAATCCCTCCCCGGCATTGTGGAGGTTGGTTTATGTCTTTTCGCCGGTTACACCTACAGTCTGTGGTTTATACTCTTCTTCATTTTCTTTGTAAGCCTTCTGGTGTTTTGGAGAAAAATACAACGAACAGCGCATAAGAATATAAACGCCTCCGTGCATTACCGTAAGTAAAGATAACTTTCTTTTAAAAGGTTTCTGTGTGAAATTTCCACCTATGACAAGTATTTAAGAGCCTTCAGGCACTGGTTTTATAGTTAATACGAGTTTGATATTCATTTTGTTCTGAGGTGTAGAAGATATCAGGGCACTACTAGTGCAAATGTGAACTAAATAAAATCCAGTAAACCCAATAGTAATGATTACATGAGATTATGAAAATTAACAACATCTCCAAAGTAAGGCCAGTCAATACAGGGATCAATTTCATTACTTTTTATGTAATTTTCTGTATAAAACCCTTTTTACGACCATCATCAAAATGAAGAAAAGACACATTCACGTTTTGTTCTAATTCAGGTAAGGGTATCTCAAAAACTAAAGTCCTTTTGAGGATTTGTGCCTGTACTAATAACGGTGCCCCCCCCCACCCCCCACTTTTGAAATCTAAATTCCGCCCCTGTCCTGGCATGACAGGAAATGAAATAAAGATTTTCTGTTAAGTGGAAAACACACAGTGAACACGCACGCCTCATTACTCACACACCCCAAGGTTAAACGCGTGGAATGTATTCTGGTGTGAGCGCGAGTTTCCAACCAGATTGCATTACGTAGTTGGCGATGTTGAATGTGACTTGTGGGTGAGTCATGGGCTGACAGGAGACCTGGTCTCAATCCCAGTCTGCAGTATCTGGATGGCTGAAGGAGACATGGGAGGAGACGAGGAAAGGACAGCGCTGGGAGACAAATGTGCAGCGTGTCTCCAAACCTGCGTAAATGTTCAATGCACTGTCATATGAATCACCAACCTAGTTAAAGAAGTGAAACCTACATGAGGGGAAAACACATTCACATCTGTTAGAGCAACACAGTAGAGAAAAGGGTCAAATACAGTATTAATGTGCACTTTGCTGACATCCTCATAATTGACAATGCTAACAGGGGGCAAGCCAAATTATTGGTGATGCTGAAAAGGGAATGAAGTCTTTGAGATTGGCTTGAAACCAACCAGGTCTCCATAGAGGAGTAAAAACAGTCATTGTGTCATTCATACCAGATGAAATGAGACTCTGGGATGGAGCCTGAAACCAACAAGTACATTCCAGGGATCCATCATACCTGTTTGTCAGCAGCTCTGGTTCCTCTCCATCCCTCCATGTGGTGATACTTTGGGACCGGTTGTGACTAATGTGCTGGTCACTGCAAGATTCGACTACTTCCAAGTTTCGTGTTACTCTAAGGGAGCTGTAAAACATCCAAACAGAGAAAAGACAGCGCAACGGCGAGCTAGAAGCCGATCGCCATTTAGTCCCACTGCATTCAAGAGAAGGCCGACATCTCTATGGCCCGACACACAAAAACATTCTAGATCTATAAGTGGCACTACAGGTAAGATCAAAAGTAGTATCTTAAGTATTAAACTCTCCCCGACTGTGTATTTACAGATGTACAGGCTACTCCGTGTTTTGGCGCAGTCTAGTGAAAAATGTGGGTACTTCATGCTGACTACATGTTAAAAGCTTTAACTTTTACAAACATTTGTTGAACAAACACTATAAAAATACAACTTCCA